GGATTCTACACTGGGCCTGCATGTGGCCTTTCTGGTTGCAATTGTAGCAAACCACTTCAGACGACTGAACGAATGATCTTCTGGTGTTCGTTCTTCTCGAGAAGTTCCTCCTTCTCACGTGATGATTCCTGTTTGCGTTGGACATGTTGAGTCTGGACATCAGGGCAGTCACATTTCTGGATTCATCCCGTTCCAGCCTTTCGCCTTCACCTTCGATGAGATCCAACAATGCGTCCGCCGTCACTTTCGTATCCATTCTCGCACTCCACGCTCGTCTGAACGAGTCCCAGCTGCTTGGAAGAGCTTCCAGAATTTTGTCACACTGGATGTCCTCCGTCACTTCAACTCCCGCTTGATTTAGCTGATACATGATTCTTTTGAATGCAAGAATGTTTTCCTCAATGGATAGCCCGGGGGTGAATTTGAATCTTGAGAATCGTGAAATTGCAAGTGATTTCTTCGTACCCGATGATGAGGTGAATTTTGCTTTGATTCTCCTCCAAATTTCATGAGCTTCCACTTCTTCCGGATCATCAAGAAATAGTATAGTTGCCAAATTCGGATGAATGGAGTTCATCAGGATATACTTCGCAGCTCTGTTCCCGGCGTCGAAGTTTTTCTGTTGTTGTCGACCTTCTTTGGTGTTAGCCTTGTCTTCGGCTGGTGGATTCAGGGTACCGAGTACCACTTCCCAGGCGTACGGTTCAGCTCCAATGACAGCCGGCATAACTGTCTTCCACGGTATGTAGTTTTTACCACTGGTTTCCAGGATGATGTTGCTGAACGCCCGTGGTCTGGATCCGACCGCTGGTCGAACTTGGATTATCGATCTTGCAGTAGCTCACTTTCGGATACGTTCGCTCTGTAGCCGTGGGACCTACGGGTATCCCGAGTTGATGATGTTGCTGATGGCATCTTGCAGTTGAGGTTTGTGCACTAACACTCACTGCGATGCAGCACAATATCGAAACTTGCTCCGAGCGAACTCGTGCGCAATAACGTTGATAGGTTTTCTCGGCTATCTAGCCTACTAGCTCTGGCTGCGGTGAGCTCGAATCGATGCTGTGCTAGATACAACTGGGACAACGGCTAATAAAGACGAACTTGCTTGGTGTGAAATACCAAAGGCTCCCCCACTAGTACTGAGCTTTATTATGCCTTATATAGTGCTGGAAGGAAAGGGGCAAGTCAGTAACCTGTCCACAGCAATTATGACGGTCACTGAACTTACACTAAGCTACAGAATACTGAAGTCATTGTTCCAGCGTCCGGTCTGGACACCGTGAGTCAACTCATGGTCATTAGAATTTTTCTGGGTAGCTACTTTAGCCCATCACCTCTCCCCTGTCAGCTCCAGGGTGAACGTATTCGATGTATTCCTGCTTAACCCAAGGGCGGACTTGAGATACAGTGTCTTGCACTTGTCCAGTTTTAGTAAGGCTGTTTTGGACAGTCTTTGCGAGATACACGTCATTCCGTATGTGATGGTTGGCACGATATTGATATTGAATATCTTGATGGCCAGCTCCAGTGGTAACCTTCGGACGTTCCCTAGGCATGCCATGGTGGTGGCCGTCCTGGTCAGGAGTTGTTCGATGTGTTCGCTGAAACTCAGCGCGGGCTGCATGGTGATCCCCAGGTATTTGAAACTGGTCACGTATTCGATTGGCTTTTGATGTAATACAATTTGCGCTTCCCTATCTGGCCGGCCTTTCGGAACTTCAGTACCTTCGTTTTCTCTTTCTGTTGATTATCATTTCATTTTCCTCACCAAATACATAACACGGATAGGCTTATTTGTACTTCATCTATGTCTACCCCGGCTATCACAAGGTCGTCGGCAAACATTTTCACGAATACCTTCCGTCTTTCTAGTCTTTCCAGAAGGCTATTGAGGAACATCACAAACAGTAGAGGTGAGATTGATTTTCCTTGTTGGACCCCTTTGCGTTGTTTGACGGGTTTGCCAAGGTCTGCTCCGTTGTCTACTATCAAGTTGTTCGGCCACATTATGGCCCTGATCGCATTCAGGAGTTTCCCTCTCGATTTGAATTCATTGCCTACGGTCTCGAGGAGCTTTTTCCTGTTGACATTGTCAAATGCGGCTCTAAAATCTACGAACACCGCAAGCGTGGGTTCTCTATTCGACTCGACGAACTCAATGAGTCCCTGCAGGGCCTCCTCGCATGATCTGTGAGGGAGGAAACCGTGCTGATTCTCCGAGATCTGCGGTAGACACTGTGTGGTCACTCGGTCTGCGAGCACGCCTGTGAAAGTTTTGTACAAGTGCGACGTCAGGTTAATGCATCTATAGCTGCTGATACATATCTTCCGGCGACCCTTTCCCCTTGTAAAGCGGTTTTACGTGTGCCGATCTCCATTCAGGACGGAATTGACCAGAAATCCGTCACTTTCATCTGCATCCTATTTCTTGCCTGGCTCCTGATGATATAAGCCTCCAGACAGAGCGCATTCGCAATTATATGGTCTGGGACGTTCTCTCGATGCGATAAGTAGCTTTTAATCGTCTGTAAAGCCTGGATCGTGGTTTTAAGGGATGGTGGTTCATTTTCTGCTCCATCGTCGTCTTCTGCGCTAGAGCTATCCCTCTCTCGATCTGGAGCTGCCTCGACCGCCTTCGAGACCTGTCGGATTATCGATGATTCGGTGACAGCCTCGCACACTTCGAGACCATCGTCGTAGGTCACGAATTGGTCGAAACTGAATCTTTCCGGAAGATGCAAGCTGTCCTTGTCAATACGCCAGCTGTCTATATCCAAAAACTCCTCTTCTTCTGACGGACTGCGGAGGCCGAAGAGGCCGCTTTTCATCCAGCAATTCTGAATGGAAGTTGATTCAATTTCTGACCACGAGTGAGCTGTCATGTCCATCGCAGCTCTGACGTCAATCTTCGATTCATTCCCGGTCTCCAAGTCGACTAGAATCTGTCGTACCAACGCTTTCCGGTAATTTGCTTTTGCCGCTCTTATGATTCCTAGATCGAGGGGCTGGATCACTGATGTGCAATTGGGTGGAAAATTTTCCACCCTCACGTGTGTCAGATGTGACAAAGCCATGTGGGCGGAGCAATTATCGATAAGAAGCAGGACACGCCGATTTTCGGAGCCCATGTCTCTGCCGAATCGAGCCAACCACTCAGAAAACGGGTCGCGAGTCATCCAGGCATTTCGGTTGCCACGGTAGTGACACAGTGTAGATTTGACATTCCTCAAGCACCGCGGTTTGTTAGATTTGCCGACGATCAGAATTTTTCGTTTCTCCGTTCCACTCGCGTTACAACAGAACAGCGCAGTCAATCGGAGTTTCGATTTCTTCCCGCCTTTGCACGGGTCACTTTTCGCAGTCAAGCTTCGTTCGGGCAATGACTGATAGAACAACCCTGACTCATCGGCATTGAAAACATCGTTCGGGGAATATGCGGCGATTATATCCTTAACTAGCGCTCCCGGTCGCCGCTTCGCGGCGACTCGGTATCGCTAGACTCACTACACATGCGCTAGCTCCGAGTGCGCTGGCTCCGAGTGCGCTGGCTCCGGGTGCGCTTGCT